TCTCTCTCTCTCTCTCTCTCTCTCTCTCTCTCTCTCTCTCTCTCTCTCTCACGTGCCAGGTACTAACCTGTGAAGTTGGCGCTGTGCTGCAGGTAAGTCTCCCTGGCCTCCGCCCAATCTCTCTCTCTCTCTCCAGTACTACTCTAGCTCCTACTACCGCCCAGCGCTGAAGACCACTGCTAACGCTACTAGCGCCCAGCGCTGAAGACTACTGCTAGCGCTACTGCTACTCCTGCAGCGCTCCTCCAGAGTGCTGCTGCCGAATCCTGAAGACTACTCCCTGCCTCCTGAACTGCACGTGAAGTGCCTGGGAAGTACCTAGGAACTACCTGCACCCTGCAGGGCGGGCCACTCTTATATAGTGCTGGCCGGTCCAGGAGGCTGCTCTTGCCAATGCCAAAACGTGCCAGACCCTGGCGTTGAAGCTCAACCAAGGGTTGTCTTGAAAACAGGCCCAAAATGTCCTGTGCTAAAACCCTGGTCTGGTGCCTGATTTCCAGGCCAGGTCGATCTTATGAGGGCCTGAAAATGGCCCTCAGTTTCAGGCTGAAAAGACTCGGGGCCGGAAAGGCCCTGATTTAGGTTGAAACGACACAGGGCATGTAGGCCCTTGTTTATAGGCTTTCAGGCTGAAAACAACACGGGGCCTGGAGGCCCTTGATTTCAGGCTTTCAGGCTGAAAACAACACGGCCCTGAAAATGGCCCGTGCAGCCTGTTGCAGGTGCAGCATGTAACATACATGCATGCACTTACGAAGAGAAAGGGATGTAGACCAGCATCAGCTCAAAGGAAGAAGAAGAGCAATAGGAGGAGGAAGTGGAGGAAGCGAAACTCGAATAATAGTCGATTCGATACAATTTCTCATCCCGTCTTCCCTCCTACCTCCGGGGATCCTCTATTCTCACTCGCCAGCTCAGCGAAGCGGGGCATGAAACCAACCCAACCATCACGTTTAACCGTCAACCTCTCTCTCTACGAGTGATGACGCCAGAATCTCTCTGTGAAGTCACTCTCCAAAGCAATATCACTCAGGCGCAACGAACAATAACACAGGTAACCTCTCTCTCTCTCTCTCTCTCTCTCTCTCTCTCTCTCTCTCTCTCTCTCTCTCTCTCTCCACTCATCACAGGATATCGCTCCCGCACACCACACTTTCTCAGACTAAGCTATGGTGCATGCGAGCTTTCTGTCCTAGCTATGGCTACTGTCACTCTCCGTCAGCCTTCTCCGCCGCTAGAGCTTGTGCAGAGCAGCGCCCCAACCTCATGTCAGAGCAAGGCAGAATAAATCACGAGCTGAGGCAGGCCCAGTGTTTCTAGCTTTGACTCGGCCTGGCCTGACGCCGGTTGCCTCCTCGAGTGGCTGAGATTTCTCAATCTGTTTCATGCATTTGTTGCAGCCAGTGTATGCCTACCGTCTTCACCCACCTGAATAGAACGGCCGTGGTCATTTCTAGCTGTATTTGACGCAACTTTCAATCCATATACAGCGATCCTGACCACGCATTCATCATGCGACGCCAGGCGATGACCTCAATAACCATCCTCATATTTTTGCCTGTATTTTACACAGACCCGGGCATTATATGGCACTTATTCGTGCAGCTGCCCAGTGGGAACTGTGGGATGGTGGGACGATGAGTCAGGTCATTTTCGACGTGAATGAATTTTTGCGAGCGTTGTCGAATCATACTTTATTCTGGATTATTGACCGACTCTCGTGTGAC